CCTGACCCCCTGCTCTGGGGAAAAGATGGGGACTCATCCCAGTGTGACCTTCTGTTGTGAAGGTAGGGGTAGGGGTTAGCAGTGCTCCTAGCACCTCCAAGACCCCCAACTAATTCTCCAGCCAGGCGTTGTGTTGGAGGTGGTTTTCATTAGGCAAAAGTACCCAGAGCCCAGTGAGATGAGCCAAAGGGGGAAAGAATCTCCACTGGAGGCCAGGGCCGGGCATTGGACAGGGCAGTTTATTCTCCTCTCCCTTCCTGGCCTCCCTACCCAGGTCTCACCCACCGGCCGCACTGGGGCGTGGGCCCTGGCGCTGCCATGTAGGCACCCTGAGACCCAGAGGGGGGAGTCTCGAGCTCTGCGAGCCCCAGTCTCCTGCCTCTGAAATAACTACTCAGCACCGTGGGATTGCATGCGCCTGGCCCATAGCCACTAGCTTCCTGCTCGCCTTTCCCTGTCCCCTCCTTTTCACCACCACTTTTGAGGAATTTGTGCGAGAGGACTTGCTAGTCCTGGGCTGTTTCCTGTGAGCTCCTGGTGAGATCAAAGATGTTAAAGGGGGCTCTCAGGTCTGAGCAAGGCTGGAAATGGTCCAAGTAGCCACCCCGCCCACTGTTGACTTCCCATGCTCCCTGCTGCTTGACATGGCTGCATTGCAGCCCCTGCCTTCCCTCTGCAGCAGGCAGCTGAGCACTGTCCTCACACCTCTCACCCGTCACTGCTGAGCTGAGCTAACAGGGCGTGTCCCCTGCTCTCCTCCTGCCTCTGTCCTTCCCTGCTTGCTGCCACTCTGTAGTGCCCCCCGACCCTGGTGGGGGGAATGACTTCTGACCCTGTTGCTGGGCCAAGGAGCCCCCGGCACAGGAGCTTGGACCCAGGTGAGTTCTGTAGCAGTCGGTCAGAGCGAAAAGCCAAGGAGCACGAGGGGAGACGGACGCTGTGAGGTTGGAGGTCTCTGAGGGCCCCCATCCCTGAATTTCAGCAGACGTGTCAGTGCTTTCTGTGCACCGGGACTTGGGGTGCCTGGACAGGAGGCTCACAGGCTGTGACACGGGAAAGCAGGTACCGTGAAGTGACAGCCTGCACGACAGAGGCTGCACCTGCTTGGTGGGCAGAGGCTTTCCAGGGGAGATGGCCTTCTAGGGCCTGTGGAGACTGGGCAGTAGCTTTCAGGAATTACTGTCCCCTCAGCCAGAAAGTTCTGGAAGCTGGGTCCAAGCGTAATCTCCTCAAGACAAAGAGCAGTGCATATCAGATGTGTCTCCATCAGCCTCAGCTGAGCATTTTATTTTTTTTATTTGTTTTTTAATTGCTAAAAGGTATGTGTGCTTGTTAGAGAGGGAGGAAGCATCCCACCCATGGGGTGTAACCACGCCGATATCTCCTCCTCCACTCCTCCATCCTGGTGGGATTTGGGGCATTTGTGCACATGTGCCCAGCGTCCCTTTTCAAGCTGCTGGGGCCAAAATTTGGACCATGGCTGGCTATATGGGGTTTGACTCCCTTACCTACTAGCCACAGGGCTGGCCGGAGTATTTGAAATTAGGTGATGGATGGTCCCTGCCTTGGAACT